AATCCGAGAGAGGTCCATTCTGCCTATCCACTGCCTTTAAGTCACGTATTTGATAACTCGTGAGCACTGAGAATATTGAATGCGAATCTGCGCGATGCCGCCTCAGGCAGTAAACTAGAAATTTACGATATATTTCAATCCTACCATATCTCTGCAAATACTGACCTTTCGTTTTATCTTGTTCGCGAAAGCGAACAGCAGTAGTTGATTTGATGCGGATATGGATAAGTGAGAATTGGCGAACGATATCTGAACAAAAAAAGTAACTGCAGAAAGATAGAAATAAAAAGTAATAATATAGTGGGTAAACTGAATACCCATCATAGCTTCAGATTAGCTGAACCACATACTCGCCAATAACGGTCTGACACGTCCCAGTTTACAAGTGAGGATGTTATACCACTATCCAAATGCTGGGTCAGTGAGGTTTTGACAATAGGATATCGGAGCCAGTTACTTAAGGTATTGGTCCAAGTTTCGCAGCACAGGAGATTGAAGCTAGAAATTGCTCCGGAAAAAAGATGCTGCAGAAGTCGACACAGCCATCAAGTGGATAGTCTGGAGAGTAACGATGCTGAACTTCAAAATCAACTGTATCGCCTGCATCCTCGTTAAGTGTCGTGCTGCGAGAATACCAGTGATGCCACAACTGCCTGTCGGGGGTTATTATTATCCAGCGTTTATGTTTCGCACATCAGAAACTTCGTAAACATGACCATAACATCGGTTGTCTTCCAAGCGACGTCCAGTATCCAGTTTGTAACACCCCTCTTATCCAGCGGTTGTGGTCAAAGCATTGTGTCCCCACCTTTGTTGCTCTACTTGGCGTATGCGGCAGCGTCTCTGATCTTCTCTTTGACGTATGGTAAAACTGCGTATTCTTTCCCTCACCTGCATGAGTCGTTTCACCTCTAACATCTCCAGCCTACGTTTGATGACAACTAACGCTTCGTCGTTGTCCATGTTTCTGGAGACAACAAAGCAGGAGGAACCGTCGAGCTGATTAGGTAGGCAATGAGACAAATCACTACGTCCTCGTGTGTCTTGCCTCCCGTGTTGCGCGTTCCCTTCTGCTTACAAGCAAGTCGTTCATCAAATTGTTGATCTTTCCACACACGTCATCAAACTCAGCATTCGCCTGCGTGATGCGTGTTATTAATACTATGTCATCAGCGAAGACGGTGTAGTTACCGGCCGTCCGCTTTCAGTCCCCAGATGTCCCATTCTGGGATTACGCATGACGTTCTCGAAGGTTCGCAAAACTTCCTGTATCACCTGTAATCCTGTTGTTCATCGTGTTGGACGAGTTATCAGCGGTGCCTCCATCCGTCTCTGTCGCGGGCGATTGTTTACCAATGCTTGCAAATCGCACCAGGAACACGTGGAACCTCTGATAGACTTCAATGGAGGACTTCTTGAACATGCTAACCATCGCGTCGACGGTCTTCCTTGTGCGTGTCGGCTGTCAAAAACTTCCGAGTAGAAGTCGTGATTACCTTTCCAATCCTCGGGAAGCAGTTAGGGCTCTGTTAGGGCAGGGGAATACGGTCAACTTGGTACTGATTTCGACAAAGCTTCCGCAGGCGTTGCATGTACTTCTTCCAGTCTTCGCGGCGTCAACCATCACTGCCGCTCTTCTCTCATCGTTGCAGGCTTGAATGTAAGTCAATAATATCTCTCGTGCTCGTTCACCATGGCGTATCAGCTCCAGAGCGATAAAAACGTTTCCTTGTGTTTGTTGGATTCTAGGCTTCCTTAGCGCAATAACGGAGATGCTGGGAACCATTGGTATTCTTCATCGATGTTGTCGATCACGGTATTTCGCCAACGGACATCGAGAAGAAAACAGGTATCACTTGATGGTAGCGCTGGACGATGTTTGAAACGACTATTGGCACGTAAGAGGCAATGATCCCGTGAACAACTTCGAAACACCAGTGAAATGTGCTCAGTCTCATTGGTACTCTCCACAGAAGTTTCCCACGTCCAGCGTCGAGAAAAGCGCTTTTGGAACTGCGAGTTTCCATGGGTGGTATTTGCCGTCAAGATGAACTTGGACAGTGTTTCCCCTTGTTCTTTCCACTGTGGTCCACGGATCCCCATGTGAAATTCTGCAGGCGACCTTCTGGCCCCGATTTTCGCGCTGTAGTCACCGGCGTGATCTTGGAGAAGGTGTGGTCTTCTAAAAACTTCTCCAAGTAGATATAGAAGGCATCGAGCTCTTCCTCGTCGTAGCCTGATGTTGGGGCATACGCAATGAAAACGGTCAAGGTCGGGATAACCCGCTTCTTGATATTCACAAACGCCAATTTGGGTTGTTAGCTTTTTGAAGAGGAATCGATGTTCATGACCAACCTCGTGAATAGGAATAGCGTGAATGTTTATAACACATGTATGCAGTTCCAGGCGCCCGTCCCCACATTTCGCGGAGACCTATTAGGTTTGCATCGCATTGCGCGGAAGACCACCACAAAAGCGTGAGCCTCCATACCTTAGCTTAGCATACAATCCGATGCAAGTCGTCCTCCAAACACTATAGCGGCGTCTGGTGTGAAGAGAGTGAGTGCACTATTGCATTGATGCTCGTGCAGCGCCTCAGTTGGAACCCCAAAAATTTCTCACAAGCTGTCCCCATTCCAAGTTTGCCTAGGCGCTGCCTGTATGACAACCAAATCTTCTCCAAGTTGAGATAATGAAGGTGAGACAGAGCTGCATCTTGAACTCGCGATACTTTGATAAGCCATGACATCGTGCGCGTAGGAAATTTATCTGCTGAATCCGTTTCGAAACACAGCTTGCCCGTCGGTTGTCCTTCGTCTCTCTTCCGATCCTGTTGAGAACGACTCGCGGAAGTTTTTAGACACAGACAACAGCAGTTAGCGCAGTAACAATGTCTCTCGAGCATCTCCCTTTGGTACAGCCCCAGACTTGCTGTCTTCCACTCACTTGAAGTGGTCATTATTAAACTGGATTCGTCTCCATAAAAGCAAAGTCCAGCACTGTCAAAGTCTTGCTAGTATATAAGAAAGTGTGAAGGAGGATCACGTAGCTGAATGTCAAAAGGAACATAATTAATATGAACTTTTTCATCTTCTCTTACTGGCAACCGATAATACGCGCCTTTCGGCCGCCTCCCTGCTTGCGCGTTGTTGTGAGACCAGTAACTTCATACTGCCACCACTTGTGTCCCATTATGATGTCAACCTTTCAACAAGACCCCTCGTCAAGCAAATAATGAACCATCCCGATATGTGAAAGACGTGATCTTATGCAAGTTCAAGAATGTGGATGCAACAACCACACTGCCTCTGTGACTGCAACGCAGTTTCTTTTGGTACGATACTCGACACCTTGAATGATCAACACTCACCAAAGCTCTGATAATGTCATTAATGGTTTCACTGCCATGTTGAACAGCCAATTTACCCCAAGCGCAAGCACTGCCCTCAACCAGCAACGCCAGCGTGGACATCTGAAAAAAATAGAATGGCTTAGTAGTTTTTTTTACTATCTAGATAAGTTATTAGGTAAAGATAGTGAGAAGCGAAATACAATTGCAGTCTCTGCCAACTACATGCTCCCTTTTCTGTAGCAGCTACGCGCCCGCAGCGCAAGGTCCAGCGCAGCGACCTACGATCGATGAGGCACGCTACGCATGTGCGTGTTATACGCGCGCGAGCGCAGCGCGTTCTGACGTCATGATGGAGCTAACGGAAAAGGGAGCACAAGGTTGACATGGACTGTACTTCAATTCGTCCTAAGTTGATTCTGTTTACAATGAAGACAATTGGCGTTATGAGAAAAAAGATCACTAGCGAGAACTGGTCTACAGTTGTGACCGTACCCACCAACGAACCCAGTGGGTAGGATCAGGCCACGAAACAGGTGCTCATAAAGCTAGTGGGTGACAGATCAAGCAGGAGGGAGGGGATATATCTGTCCTGCCCAATAGCCATTATCATCAACAGAGCTCAGTGGGTTAGCCTGCCTACTGGTAGAATGGACCCATAGCTCTGTGGATACCGACCATGGGTTAGCCTGCCTACTAGGTAGGCTAATCCAGTGGGTATGATAATGAGTACGGCCACTGGCAGGGCTGACACAATGATTTTATACTACTGACTGTTGTGGTTTTCGATCTTGCAGTGGATACAGGACACGAATAGGCAGTCTTTATTGGCGACTGGTACAAATGACAGGAATGGGGAATGGAAGAATGAATGCTACCGCATAAGGAAGCTCTTATATAGCCCTCTAAGGATGGTTGTAAACAAACAAGTTATATATACAACAGAGGTTCATTTCTACCGGTCATATAAGCAAGCAGCCTAATGCACTCTACAACACTGACTAACTGTGCTACAACCCGCGGTAGGCTAACCCATAGCGCGGTAACCGCTTCAAAAGTGGCCACTGAAACGCCCGGGCGACTGGAACGCCTAAAATCGATGAGCCAGAACGCCACAAGCTTTCATACTTATCCGTAAGTCCGGGAACAGTTCTAGTACAGCTGTACAGTTCGAGCCGTGTGCTGGAATAGTTCCGGAATTAACGGACCAGTATGGCAAGCGCCATACTTGATCCGCTTCATTATTGGTCAATTTAGCGAATTGACCAATAGCGAAGCCGTTGTTCATTTGATCCGCTTGATCCACTTCATCCACTTCAGTATTGGTCATTTCCGCGAAATGATGATGCAGATCAAGCGGATCAAGCGGAATAAGCGGATCAAGTATGGCGCGTGCTTATGAACCCTGCCATATCGCACACAGTCAAGATGAGGGTCCTACAACGACCTGCGTCTAACTTTGGCGGCATGCCTCATTATCTGAAATCGATGGCTTCTGGAAAAGCTCGTTTTCGACATTTTCATGGTCTCCAAGATCCATTTTGGATTCAGCGCAAAGGATTAGATCAAATAAGCGAAAATTTCATTCGAAATTCTACCCGGAAGCTGCGTTGAAGGCAGTAAACAGGCAAAATGAGGTGGAGGACATGAGGTCGCCGAATGAAAGGTCCCGCGCGGACAATGCATCAGATACTCAGCCT